ATGGCAACCCACTGCAACAGGGGCTGCAGCCCACGCCGTCGCCGGAGACTCATAGCAGCCCAGCTCCAGGTTGAGCTGTTGTTCAGCATCTTAGCTGTGGAGGGCAGTGTCGCTGACCCTCATATGTGGGATCCGAACCGGGGCCCTCTGGCATCCCAAGCCAGCTCTCAACTAACGCACCACTCGGCCGGCCCAAGCCATAGGTTTTCTAACACTCGGTTACGCTTTACACCATGGCCTGATTTTATCTTGTTATGTGTGTTCCATCTTTCAGGACTATGGCTGTCTCCACCACTGGACTGAGTTTCTTGAGAGCAGACACTGGGTCCCCCTAATTTGTACCTCGGGAGCAGCACCATTCCTGGACTCTAGGAGGTGTCCTTGGTCACACATCTCTGTAATATCTGTTCCCAGTTTACAAGCTCCTTGAGGGCAGGCGGTGTTCCTTACTTGTGTGCATCCAGGAACCTCAGTTCCTAGGCCCCAGGGCATGACTTAGAGTTGGCTTCAGGAATCTTCTGGTAACCTACTGAGCATGTCTGGTTGTGTTACGAGAGGCCTGAACATGAAATGGTGGGGCAGGGGTGGAGGCTTTTCTGCCTTTCCCCCATGATGTCCTGTAACATTCCCATCCTCTGGCTGCTTCTCCAGCAATAAACAATTACTGCCCTACACGCTCCCTCGTCACCTGAGAACAGCCCGGACTCTCCCTGGAGGCTGCACCCTGCCTCCCTGTGCCTCCAAGTCCTCTGGAGAAGAGCCTGCTCAGTTGGCCACACTTCTGGCCCCGGGCACCAGGAGGCAGGTTGACCATGCGTAATTTCCTGTTTTGCCTCCTCATTCAGAAGCACCTTCTCTGGGGATAGCTAGGCCATTCCCCGCCACCACCTGCTTCCCAGCTGCACCCCTGTCACCTTCATGACTCCAAGGCAGCCTCTCCCCCTCAGAGGCACAGGCCCCACCCCAAGGGCTGTTGGCCCCTTGGGGGCCCCAGAGCTCACAGAAGTCAGAGGTGGCAAGCAATCCAGCCTGCTGAACTGTTTTGTTTGGCCAGAGTCATGTTTTGGGAAGACCCCAGCAGGGGAGAGATCCTTTAGGGTCTAGTCTCCTCCCACATCCTGCCATTCTGCTTTAGACTCCACTCCTGAGCCCACCCCTGCCCTGTGTCACAAGACTGGCCAGATTCTGAAACCCACCTGCGGAACACAGCTTCCCTCCCTTCCCTTCTCTACACACAGACCCCTAGGCCCTGCGGCCCGTCCTGTTCTCCCCACCTTCTCCCAGGCGTCCATTCTTTCATTTTTCTACCCCTGCCTCACCAACCCCTCAGAACTCCGTATTTCCCTGTTTTCTGCCTTCAGTGGAATCATCTTAAAAATCAAAGTTGCGGGCTGGCCAAGTGGCGCACGATGATTAAGAACTGGCTTGGGACGCCAGAGGGCCCCGGTTCGGATCCCACATATGAGGGCCAGTGACACTGCCCTCCACAGCTAAGATGCTGAACAACAGCTCGACCTGGAGCTGGGCTGCTGTGAGTCGCCGGCGATGGCGTGGGCTGCAGTCCCTGTGGCAGTGGGTTGCCATGGGCTACCTTGTGTAGCCAGCAGCCAGCGTGAGCGGCCAGCAGCCGCAGTGAGCGGCCGTCCAGAAGCCGGCGACTGATCTGCCTCGTCCGGGAAGAGCGCAATGATGGTGCCAACTTGGGCCAGTGAAGCAACGTCCTCCACAACTAGACTGAAGAACAAAAACGACGCAACTTGTCTGTTCCCCTTCCCCCAATTCCCCAGCACTGTTCCCATCCCCCCAATTCCCCAATAAAAATCTTTTTAAAAAATCAAAGTTGCGTAATTATTTGCTTCCCTACAAACTTCCAGACGTTCTCCCCAAGCTACAGGGCTGCTGGTACTAAGGATGTAGGCGTGCTCCTCAGCTGGCCTAGAAGAAAATTTCTGCTTTTTAGCCACCACAGCCCCTTTCGTGAACCTGAGCCTTTGTAACAGCTTTCCCCCTTACTCATTCTTTCCTTGGCTGATGCTAGTCTTATTTTAAAACCCTATTGTTTCCATGGGGAGATATGTTACTGTAAAGGCACAGAGCAAGGCCACCAAGGATACACCAGACACATAGTTGCTACATCTGTGCGTGATTGAGGACAAAGGTTGAGGTCAAGGGTTCAACTTTATGAAGTTTCTACTTCTCACAAAGAGATTGTGTCATGTACTGACTGCTTGTGAGATATAAAAACTAACAAATGAACCAGGTCAGTACCAGAAAGCTGTCCCCTGACTTCCCAGGCAGACGGAGCTGCTTCCTTTTCTGGGGTCACATAGCACCTTCCCCAGGTGTTATAGGCAACTGTGTTTGATTGTAATTTGTTGGTGACCGTCTTTCTCCTTCTAGATAGGAACCCCTTTAAGGTACAAACCGTTATCTAATTCATGCTTTCATGAAGAAGGCATCCAAGTCCCAGTTTAAATGTGGAAGTCTGTAGCTTTTGTATTTTTCCAGACAAACCTGAGCTCTTCAGGCCATAGGATGCTTCTTAGGTCCTATCTATTGCTCAGAGGCAAAAGGACAAGGGGTGGCTTTAATGGGTCACTTGGATTGGGGATAGAGTGTGTGTGGGGGGGGGCTTTTAGAGTTGGTGATGTATGTGCCATCTGGTCAGAGCAATTGTTTAGACCTGGAGGGGCAAAGTGGCAAGGAGGAAGGGTCTGGATAACGCCAAGCAGCCCCTGTATTCAACCTCGAATAGGATGGTATTTCTGGTGACAATGAGCTACTTGGGCTCCTGGAGATAACATTGTGGCAGTGGAGGTGGCAGCAGGCATTCAGTGAGCAGCCCTCTCCAGCCCTCCCCACTCCACCCATCCCATCCAGCTCTCTCAGAGCTATCCACCCACAATCCCACCACAGGCCTCAGAATTACTGAAGGGACATCAGACCACACTACATCCCTTTAGACCTCAGTGAAGAACACGTCGGTCCATCTCTTTGAAACTTTTATTTTTATTTACAACAGAATTGGTGGCTTTATTCCTCCATCTTTAGGGACAGCTGGCATCAGCAGCCAGATGGAAAGTCTGCAGTGAAGTCGAACTCATTCTGCCCCAGCCACAGCTCCGGAAGCTCATTGGCCCGGTCCAGTCCCAGTTCCACCACCAGCGACATCAGCACCTCCTCGTCCACTGGGTCCGAATCAATGATAGCAGGGCTCTGGGCACCAGCAGAAGGAGAGAGGGACCCCACCCCTCCCGCCTGAGCCCCCAGGCTCCAGTTTTGCAGGGGCCCTGCCTCCCCGGGTTGGGCCTGAGCGGCACCGGCCATCCCATGATACTGGCTATTAAGTTTCTGCAGCTGCATACTGGCTAGCAGGTGGGGGGCTGGGTGCACATTGAAGGGTGGGGGTTTGGCGGGAGGGGTGGTGGTAGGAGAGCCTATTGGAGATGCAGATCCCGAGGCGCCAGAGGCAGCCTCACTGGCCTTGGTTCCATTGGAGGCTGCCCCAGGGTAGTGCAGGATGGCTACTGCTTTGCGATCTTTCAGCCCCAGGCTAGAGTAGGCCAGAGAGCTCATGTCTTCACTGGCATCCTAGAAGACAGAAAGGCACAGCATAGCACAGACCCAGAAAGCTCGCACATGCACTGCCTTTGGGGAGAGTGGTGGGGAGGTAGCAAGAAGGCCCCCTGCAGGGTTAGGCTCCCAGCCCAGGATCCTTTTGCTACATGGCTTTGAGAACTGAGTTCAGAGCCAAGTGCTCATGCTGGGCACCTGCCAGCCCAAGTGGCTTTGCTGCTTTCATCTACCTCCCTCGATCTCACCATTCTAATAAGGGCATCTCATTGTCCATCTTCTCCGCCCACGTTCATCTTTTCTATGGCACTGTCTTGTTCCAGTTGTACTTCTCTGCTCCCGGCCCTGCCATCTTTCAACAACCCGAGTGGGTTTGATCTGACCACAATTAGGCACAAGCTCTTTTCATTGTCCCCAGAGAAAGCCCGGCTGTCTCCGCTCTGCTCAGGGACACCACACATTTACAGGGGCCCCACACCAGCTCATCTTTCCATGCCTCAGTGTCTCCATGTGTAAACTGACAAGTTACCTCCTTCATAGGTGCGGTGTCACCCTTGACATCAAGTGCAGGTCGCGAGGTGGTTGGCATTTCAGAGCCTTGGCAGAAGTTGGATAAGTTGATGGGAGGTGATGCTGCCAGCTGGGGCTGTTGTGCTGTATGTGAGGGAGAAGACGTTAGGAGCACAAAGGCATCACTGACCAAGAAAAGCACTAGCACAGACCAAAGGAGGGCCACTCCACACAACTACAAGGCAAGGATGGTGACAGGGTTAGAACCATGACCAGAGAGCGCCTGAGGGAGGAGACGTGCTCGGCTCAGCCAGGTGCTGCCCAGGTAGCCAGCTACTCCCATCACCAAGAGGGAACACGATGAATTTCCTCAATACCAGTGATTTAAGAGCCCCAAGTGTGTGGGGCTGGGGCGGGGATGGCACTGTTGCTGATTCTGAAGGCAGAAATGTCCCTAAGTAGCATGCTGTCTTAATGGACCACTGGTATCCTGGGTGGAGAGCTGGGGCTTCCATCAGCACTGGAAGAAGGTGGGAAGGAGTCAGGGCGAGGCAGTCCTAGAAAGCTAGATAGCGGATGCAGCCCCGGGAAGGAATAAGTCCTCAAAGCAAATGGCACAGGGCTCCAAAGCCCTGCCTCGGGTGTGGGTGTGAGAAAGCCCCCTCGGGTGTGGGTGTGAGAAAGCAGAATGAACAATCAAGGTGGCTATCAAGGTGGCTGAGGTGGGGCTCTGAGGCAGCCAGACAATAGCCAGGAATGTCGCAATTTCCTCCGGGTCTCAAGTGCCCTCCAAGACTGGCCCGCAGCACTGGGCTTTCGGGACACCTGTTCTGAGCCCAGCTACGCTCACTGGTAGAGGCAGGTGGGGGCAATTCTCTCTGGAGGGAGACAGGCAGAGGTTCAAGGGCTTTCTCCTCAGGTGGTAGTGGTTTTGGGAGCAGGATCTAGCGCTCTTATGTCTGCAGGCCTGGCCCGTCCACTTAATCACACCTGGAATCAGTCAAACGGCTGCCGAAGAAATAATTCCCTAGCTCAAGTGCCAAAGAACAGAGATGAGGTGAAAATAATCCCCCCAATTCAGAAAATAAAAAAAATCTCATCTAAGAACTTTCTAGTTGTTTTCCTACAAGCTTGTTTTTTCTAAAGCCTCATAGATTCTAGCCTTCACCATGAATTAGAGATGTCCAATTTCATATTTATAAACACCTCTAGGCCCAAAGACTCTTACTCTTCAGCACCTTAAAAAGCATCTCTCATCTTTCCAACAAGGCTGGAATTCTCCTTGACACCTCCCTCCCCCCAGTGGTCATTAAGAATCTGCTCAGACACTTCTAGAAAGTGGTCTATTACTACCTCTCTTTATCATCTTCACATCATTTACTTGGAGAGAGAGGCAAGAAAAATAGAAAAAGTGAGGGGGAGAAAACTTTAGAAAATAAGTCAGTTGCTGGGTCTGCCACCACCACTGCCTGACTGGAGCCCCGTCCCTTCTCTGAGGCAGCCCGGGAAGATTTCAAGCCAGTGTTCACGAGACAAGGAGTCTAATCCACAGCGTCTTCGAAAACCCAGCGCCTTCAATATCAAGCACTTTTCATGTCCTAATAAAAACGCTGGGGCGGCCCTGCCCGTCTTGCCTGGTGCCTGTGCGCCGCCAGGTACAAAAGAAGAAACGACAGTAGCTACTACAATAAGAAAAAGAAGAGGGAAAAATACCAAAAGAGACAGAACCAGAAAAAAGTATTTGTTCTGATATTCGTTCCTGGGGAAGACCAGCACACCATATCTCCCCCCGGCAGGCTGGGAGCTCCCCTAAATGAGACCCTCGTTCCATTTAGATATTTCGCCTTCCATCACCGCTCCCCCCCGCACACACACCTGTCCTGAACCCGGGCCTGGGTCTGTGCTCCGTAGGCGCTCAGTAAGTGTTGAATCCGTCCCAAGAGACACTCGCTTTTCGATCGGTACCCATGCCCCTGCTTCCCCGATTTTCTGTCCCTACTCCGCCACCCAGCCCGTTCCAAGGCACAAGTTGGCAGCGCGGAAACGTCCCAGCCCTCTCTACCAAGCCGCGAGCAGTCCGCTGTGAAACGCCTGCGAGAGGCGGCTGGGTAGCCCAGAGCAACAAGTGCCTTCTCGGGCACTCCGGCCTCGCGGGCCCCGGCCACCACTTGCCGGTCCCACTGCCCGCCCTTCGCTTCAGACCTTCCCGCGGTCCCGCAGCCTCATCCCGCCCAGATGGGGGTGGGGGTGGAATAAGAAAGAAGAGAGAGTGAGGCAGGTGGGGGGATCCTCCTCTTTGACCCGTTGGGGGACCAAAAGTTAAAATGACACCAACCCGCTGGCTCCATCTCGATTGCTATTTTCTCACTCAGAAGGAGAAAATCAAAAATCCAAATAGTAGTGCGGCTTGGCTTGGAAGCGCTCTAACCAGACCAGTGAGTTTCGCCACCTGAAAACTAAAGGCTGGTTGTTTGCGGACAGCTCGGCTGCCCTGGTCGCCGCATCCCAGGAGCCGCCGGAGCTGGGGGCGGCCTGCAGCATCCCTGCACGGTGGGCGCGGGCAACCAGGGCCCCGAACGTCCGTTCCGGCAAGTGCCGTGTCGGGAACGGATCGTAGAGACCGCGTGGACAGGAGGGGAGGGCGCGGGGTCTCGGCCTCCGCCTCGAGTTTGGGGCCCCGCGGTGCAGCCGCGCGCGGGGGCGCACTCCAGCACCGGCCGCGGCCACTCCAGCGCCTCACCAACACTTACTGAGCGCCCGCTGAGCTTCGGACGCGGCCGCAGGCGGAGCCTATCCCTTAGCCCAGCCGCCTGTGGTCCGTGCTCTAACCCCGCTAGCAGGAAGAGTGCAAGAAGCTCGGAGAGGTTCGGTAACTTGCCCAAGGTCACAGCGCTAGAAAGTGGCAGAGCCGGGATTCGCAGCCACGTCTTTCTGACTCCAAGTCCGGCGCTCGGCAAGGCAGGGACTCCGTGCGCAGCCGGGCTCCGCTGCGCTCGCTCATTTATAGGGAGAGGGGTGTGTGCGTGGGTGTGTGTGGGCGTGCATGCGGGGGAGAGGAGAGGGCCACTGGGTAGTAGAGGCAAGTTGCCCAAATTCGCTAACTTCCAGCCCGCAATTCCGCTGAACTCGGCCGGAAAAGCCCCTCTCGCCTCCAGCCCCCAAAGGAAACCTGAGCTTTGTGCAGCCCCAGAGCCGGAGCGTCCAGATGCGGTCCGGGCGGTTAGCAAAGTCGGTGGCAGCCAAGCTGGAGAAAGCGCGGGCGCGGGGAGAAAAGGTGCTGCCGTCTCCCCGGGAGAAGCGGGTGCCCGGCCCGGGGGGCCCGCAGGCAGGCGCGCCGGCGAGCCAACCGGCTCGCTGGCGGGCGGGAGGCGGCCTCTCCACCCCCAGCAGAGCAGCTTTCAAAAACAGAAAACAAGTCCCCCCAGAGCCCCTCTACCCGCCCGCCCGCCGCCCGCTCCCCACGCCGGCTCGGCGGGAGTCCCCGGCCCCTCCATCCAGCCCAGCGCCCTACCCAGCGGCCCGGCTTACCTCCGTGAAGCCGCCTGCCCTGGAGAGAAGGAAGCGTGGAGCCCAGTGAGCTGCGGGCGAAGCGGCGGAGCCCCCAGCCCCTGGCACGCACGCCGCCACCGCCGCCGCCAGCCGGTCGCGCTCAGTGCCACCCGACCCGGGGCGCCTG